TGTTCCCTTTGTGTTGTGAGTGAGATATAGTCTGTCTGTTTTCGACATAGAACTTTGCACCGATGTGCACCAGTTCAAGTCGCCACACTCCACTCCTTGTAGCACGCAAAGCAAGAGGAGATAGTAGAAGAAATGCATAATAGAGACAGTAAACAGAGGTGTTAGATAAAGGAATAGTAATAACAAAGAACAAAACAGTTTCATTGGAAATCATAAGTCATTAGGAGTGAATGCATCGGCACCACTCATTGAGAACGATTTTTAGCCATGTCACCGATTGTTTTCAACCATTGGTTTTTAGCGTCCCGAGGACCCCAACCAGTCAGGAAGCCAGTCTACACCTTCCTACGTGGCCGGTTGGCTTAAAATAACTGTTGTAGATTTCACTAACTGATGAAGCCATGTTTTGGTCTGACCACCACTAGCTAACTCTTTTACAGCCTGACCTTATGTCAGTTAACATTGCTTGCTGTTGGGGAAGGCGATGGCTAGGCATGCATCTGTAACACATGTCCTAACCATCTCAGTCGATGTAATTTCACAGCCTCGTCGACTGATTTACCCTCTCACCTACTTAGCACTCGATCCGCGCCTAACCTCAGTATTGCATACCTTATTATACCACTTCACACGGGAGATAGAACGCAGGCACCCGTGATCAAAGACAGCTAGCCGGCCTTTCCACGTCTTCCACTCTCAATAACCAGGTCTCACAGCCATACAGGAGGACGGAGCAGACTGCTGAGCAGTACACACGCCCTTTGTTCGATAGCCAGCCAGGTATCACGTCCACTAAACCAGAGACGGCGTAAACTGGCATATCCGAAACTAGCCCTCTGTATCCGTGCTGAGATTTCGTCAGAGATCAACTCGTTGGCACTGGCTGATGGTAATTCCCGAATGAGTGAAGCGGTCAACGTGCTCTACCACTTCACTCCCTATTTCTAAACTAGGAGTCAGTGTAGTCCAGTCCAGTCGTGTAGCATCATCTTACATTTCACAAGGGGAGCAAATCGTATTCCATACTTCTCGTAGATCGGAGCTCAGTGTGTTCGGAAGACTGCGTGTATTTTATCAGCGTCCTCGCCTAGAAGGACTATATCGTCTGCATATTCTAAGTCAACGAGATTATTCCCTAGTAGAAAGTCAATCCCTGAGTCGCTGAAGTGAGTTAGGGTTAAGTCCATTGGTACATCTATGAGGAAATTGAATAGAAATGGGGATAATGGGTATCCCTGACGGACACCACTAGTCGTCACCACTTCAGATTACAACTCGCCCCACCTGACTGCATGAGCGAGTGAGATATAGGCCTTCACAACAACACATCTCCACTTTGTTCTTTTCTCTTCTGTCCTCTTCATTTGTGTCCACGATCACCTATAATGGCTCATGTCCTATCCTGATGATCTCCTCGATGTCACCCCCTCACACTGACAATCCACTCGTCGTTTCCCATTGTGATTCCACTCGAGGGATGGCCTGCATTATAAGCGCGATGTCATCCGTCGGTTTCCGTAACATCATTGTACTTATTCCATCTCGATTGTCTCCTGCATATTTGTTGAGCAGTCGCCTCTTGTTTGGTTTGTTGCCAGTGTTTCTTGTTACTGATTCTCTCTCTCTCTCTGTCTTTGTGTTCCATGTATCTCCACAACGTTGTATCACATGCCTTTTTTGAAATCGAATGTAACTCGCTGGTATTTGTTGTTTTTATGCTTATGAACGTCCCTCTATGTTTTACTGACAAATCTAATCAGTACCAGTCGCCACACAATTGTAGTTATTGTGTATATAACTTTTAACTGATAGCTTGGTGGAAACAACAGTCATCTTCTGGAGAAAAAAACCCAAGTTTTTATTGCTACCAGCTAAGTGAGATTTAGGAGTATGTTGACAGGGGATCGAACTCCGAGCCACGTGTATGAATAATTTAGCATTAATACAACACATAATTAACATTATTCAGTGTGGGTCTACAGCCGTCGGTGACACAACGGTAGAATTCTCGACAACGACGCAGGTAGTTCGCGGTTCAATCCTCGGCCACAGACGCACTTTTTACCTCGCTAATTCAGTAATAAGACTGGTAAAGAGGTGAAGGTTGGGCATGAGGCCAGAGGACCCCATCCCGTAGAAATAAACACCACTGCTATCGAAACTTCAAGCCTTTAGCTTGAAGCCCTCCCATATGTTCCACTGGGAACGTAAAGGAATCAAATAAATAAAAAGTGCAACTCAACCTCTATCTCTTAGACATATATTAATTTCTATACGGCTTCGTACGATTAATATGGTTTCTATCAAGTTTTGGTTCGTAGGGATTTCATTGGTTACAGGAGTGATCATGAGCTGACATCAGTTAGAACTCCGGTGGGTGCATATTGCTGAAGAGCCTCAAACTAGGACGAAACAGCTGTCCAGTACTCTTTGCAGGTTTTCTAATGGTTCTCTAACCAATGTCAGCTCATGATGAAATCCTGTAACCAGTTAGAGAATCATTGGAAAACCAACACCGAAGTACTGGATAGCTGTTTCGTCCTAGATTGGGACTATTCATCACTCGTAACCAACGGAGTCTACCAAGTCAAGTAAGAGGACAGTTAGTTACTCGTCCGTGGCAGTGACGGCCAATTGAGCTATATATATAAATCACGAATCGGTGGAAGTTGTTCCGTCCCAGTTTGGGACTCTTCAGCAGTACGCACCCATCGGGGTTATGGTGGTTACAAGGCGAGTTCGTAGACCATTGAGCCACTGGGGGGACCCTTATGTCTGTAATGTCCATCCATGATTCCTATTTATAAGAGTGAATTGTCCATCCACTCTTGAATATTGTCAAGATTCGATGTTAATTAAGCATTAATGTTGTTCATGTCAAGATTATCGAATATTTATTATTATTATTATTGTTTAGGTCAGTAGTTTATCAAGATACTTATTTCTGTCCACTAGTGATTACCACTAGTAGAGTAGTAAATAAGCGAGAATGTTTCTAGCCTTTGTGATGTCTACCATTATTTATGAAACTAAACCGCGTGGGCGGTTCAATCGAACATTTTTACCTTGACCATTACTTAATATTATTTTAGAATGTTATTTGTTGATATACTAGTTAATCTTTATTGTTTTTTGTTGTTATATTATTTGTTGTCCTTTGTCTTGTTCATCTCTAATTTGACCCTTATTTATTGATCTTGTGTGTGTGTGTGTGTGTATAAGTATATGTGTGTGTATGCTGCGGCGTAGGTTCTTGCTTGAAAATCTTCTTTGTGTGCGTGGGTGTACATATATACATATGTATGTGTGTATATCTTCACATGCGTGCTTATAGCAATACAGGTTATTTTTCGATGTTTTTGCCTGTGTATTTCAAATAGTTTGTTTCACGGGGGTTTTCTTCATTCAACGTAAAAATTATAAAAATTACAAGAATGATTACGAGCTGATATCGTTACAGAACCATTAGAAAACAATCAGAGAGTTACTAGATGCCTGTTTCATCCTAGTTTAGGACTCATCATCAGTGTGTGTACCGACTGCTAGTGTTCGAATACAGAACCTTTTCTGGTTATCAGGCGAGCTTATAGAGAATTCATTCAGCGCGACCCGATTCGACGGCCAATCCATGAATTTCAACTTCTGCCAATAATTTACGACCTAGCACTACTACTAACCAATGTTGTCGGTGGTGAGTATTTGTCCTCATGCCCAACCTGCTGTACCTCACCGGTCAGCACTTTTCACTTGAAACCAGATAACTGCCTACCTCAATAGGACCAACCGGTAGTGAGTATCAGATTGATATTCAGGTTTACGAACCTGGGTGGGGTGTGTACTGTTGAAGGGTCCAAAACTAAGACGAAACAGCTGTCCAGCACTCCTTGATGGTTTTTTTCAATGATTTTCTAACCGATATCAGCTCATGATGAAATCCTGTAGCCAATAAAAATCCCGTCTCTGTAAACCAACACGCAAATTCATTTTGTCTAGTAACCGCGTATCTCGAAATCGATTCATGTGAATTTCATCCAGTAGAATTCCAATACTGTCTTGTTAGTACTATTATTATTATTATTTGCGTGAATTGCTTACTTCTTTTTTTCCACTTCCTTTATATATATATTTTTTCGAAACTTGTTCTCAGCATTTATACATTCTTGTTGTGTATGCCCGCCTGCGTGTGTGTGTGTGTGTGTGTGGCGGAGCTCTTACATAATTCTAACTTCAATGTAATGACTAGTGAAAGTTGAACATTGATCTGAGAAAAATACTGTGTACCTAAACATTCTATGCCTATTTTTGATCTGATTGAATGGAGTATTTCATCGTGAGCTGACATCAGTTAGAGAACCATTGGAAAACCTGCAGGGAGTACTGGACAGCTGTTTCAACCGTCCCAGTTTGGGACCCTTCAGCAGTACGCACCCACACTGCGCGGTTCGAACCCAGGACCTTCTGGTCACAAGGCTAGCGAGCTCGTAGACTATTGAGCCACTGGGACCCGATTCAATGGTCCTTGAATTCTAACTTCTGCCAATTCATGCCATAGCGCGACCGTTTCGCAATTTCTTCTTCTTGGATGAGTTACTGCCTCATCTTCAACCTGCTGTACCCCTACTGGTCACTGCTTCCTACTATAACCCCAGGTTAACTGCCTGAATAGGGCCGGTCGCTAGTGAGCATCAGATCAAACAAAATCTCTACAAAACCAATACTTGAATATTTTTGATCTATTCTACTACACTTTACTTTCTGTTTAATTTATTCATGATCAATATGCGTATGACTTTTGATTGTTATTATTAGTATTATGGTCGAGGATTAATTTTTTCGAATATTTTTAACTCGTATTTTTTTCATTGTTTATCTTCATCTCTCTTCTCTTTGTTCTTATTCTGCTGTTGTTTTTGTTATTGTCTGGCAATATTAATATAACTAACAACTATGACGGTAACTGGTACTACTGCCGCTATTACTTATGTCTACCGCCTAAACAGGTGAAGTATTCGATCATCTAGTTTCACATGGTCGAATGAAAGAACGTGAAGCAAGAGCTGCATTTCGTCAAATTGTATCCGCTGTGGAATATTGTCATCAAAAGAAAATTGTACACAGAGATTTGAAGGTTTGTCTTGTATTTTGTGTATTATTATTATTATTATTATTATCATTATTAATCCTTGAAAATCTGTTTTTATTCTTGATTTTTAATGATTGCGAGTATTTGAATGTTTGTAACTAAGATTATGCTACAGGACTAGACTGACTACATTGACACCTAGCTTAGAAGGAGTGAAGTGGTAGACCACGTTGACCAGTTTTGTGCCGTCTCTGGCTTAGTCGACGTGATATCCGGCTAGCTATATACCAAAAGGCGTGTGTACTGTTCAGCAGTCCGCTCCATCCTAATTTATGGATGTGAATGACCTATGGCTACTGAGAAGTGGCATACATGAAAAGGAAACTGTACTAGACACTTTGATTGGTCCAAGGCTTCCTCGATGGGGCAGTCTTACCTGACTGATATTGGGTGGATCAGGTTGGAAAAGAGTTAGCTTGTGGTGGCCAAACAAAATCATGGATTCATCAGACAATGAAATCTATAACAGTTACTTTGAGCCAGCTAGTCAGCCACGTAAGGAGATGTAGACTGGATAGCTGATTAACTGGCTGGTTGCAGTCCTCGGGATGGTGAGAAGCAATGGTGGCTGGAGATTTGACTGAAAATCCTCATTCTCAATAATGGTGAAGATGCATTCATCACTCTCTGTGAGTGATTTGTCGTACTACAAGAAGGGAGTGTAGTGGGTAGAACTCGTTCACATCTGTGCAAAGTAATTTTTATGTTGAAACCAGTCAGTCAAGGTTTCCTGCTGATTTCCTTCAACCATCTAACAACAACGATTCACAGTGCCCTGTGATGGCAAGCCAACTAACTTGATGGATGCATTGTAAACTTGACTGGTGGTGGTATTCAATCTCTACCGAACAAAGAACTTAAATTATTTTGACTTTCATATGAGACAATGAATGCTCTCTTTCATCACTGGTTCGTCAACTTTATTCCTTTCACGTGTCGGTGGTATTGTTGTTGTTGTTTTTGTTGCTGTGGCTGTCATCGTTGTGATTAGAGATTTGAGTAGCTTTTGTTAACGCCTCAGATTCGTATTGCTCACAGTTCTCACGGTTGTGTATTACCAGTCATATCAGATAGTGCTACATGCGCTATGAGCTGTTATCAATTCCGTTGGCTCGTCAATGAAATCCACAACAGTTGGTCTAAGCCACGTAGAAAGGTGTAGACTTCCAGGCTGGGGTCCTCGGGACGGTAAAAATCTATGGTTGGAAACAATTGGTGACATGGCTCAAAATCGTTCTCAATGGCTGGTGAAGATGCATTCACTCCTTGTGACTTATGATTTCCAATGAAACTGTTTTGTTCTTTGTTATTACTATTCCTTTGTCTCACACCTCTGTTTACTGTTTCTATTATGCTTTTCTTGTACTTTCTTCTCTTGCTTCGCGTGCTACAAGGAGTGTGGCGACTTGAACTTCCGCACATTTGTGCAAAGTTCTATGTCGAAAACAGACAGACAGAGTTGGCTCGTCATGGTCTCTTTGTTTTGTCGTTCTCATTGCAGTTTTCCACCTCTTTAACATTAGAAATCATTAGTAATACTCAGTTCATCTTTTAAAAAAAACATCACATCATTTCAGTCATTTCGGTTTATTATTGTACTCAATTCAATTTAAGTCTTCTGATAATTTCGGAAATTTTTTCGAAATTTACTTAGATTTTAATTATTTTGGTGAAATCTATTATTATTATTATTATTATTATTATTATTATTATTATTATTATTATTATTATTATTATTATTATCAAGATGTGAGCGTGACAAATATGTTTCTGCTCTTTATTTTGCCATTAAAGCCTTTACTAATCACATGTGTGTGTGTGTAACTAGTAGTAGTGTTATTATTAGAATTTTTCATTCACTATAATTCTATTTTCAGGTCACAACATATTAATAAAATCATGAATAACGATTAGTTTATTCAAGTTATCGACTGACTGACTGATTAGTTTCAGCATAGAAATTCCCACAGGAGTGCAGCACTTCAAATTGTCACACTCTTTCCTTCTACCGTACAAACCAAGATAACAGACTGAACACAGATTCAAAAAAGAGAGATAATGGACAGAAGTGTGAGTGACGGAAAACGAATGCTAATATGAATGAAATGACAAATCACTCACAAAGAACGATTGAATGCATCTTCACCACCATCATAGAGAATGAGGATTTTCAGTCAAATCTCCAGCCGCCATTGTTTCTTACCATCCTGAGGACCCCAGGTGCAGGTTGGAAAAGAGTAAGTGGTGGCCAAACAAAAACATGGCCTCATCAATCCATGAAATACTTGACAGTTAAACTGAGTTGGTCAGGTAGGGAGATGCAGACTTCCGGGTTGGGGCCCTCGGGACTCTAAGGATCAATGGCTGGAGACAATAGGTGAAATGGCTGAAAATCGTTGTCATTGGCTCAGATGTATTCAGTCTCTCTAATCTTTCATATTCCTTTTTACCATTACCAATTCTGTTTCATTCTTATACTTGTCAAACTCTATTAATTCTCTCCACTCATCTTCTTGTCTACCTCTGTGTGCTATTTGGAACGTGGCAACTCGAACTGGTGCACTTCGGTGCCAAGTTCTATGTTTAATCCAGACAGACAGAGGACCCCAACCAGCCATTTGCCCAGTCATCCAGTCTACACCTCCTTACGTGGCTGACTGACTGGCTAGCTGGCTCAAAGTAACTGTTATGGATTTCATTGTCTGATGAATCCATGGTTTTGTTTGGCCACCACAAGCTAACTCTTTTCCAACCTGATCGATCCTAAAATGATGCATGGAGGAAGGCGATTAGTGGTTAGAGATGCATGCGTAACACATGTCTTAACCATCTTACTCAATCCGTGTAACTTCACAACCTTATCAAAAGATTTTCCCTTCTTATCTAGCACTCGATCGAAGCCTAACCTCAATATTGTTCACTCTATTATATCTCCTAACAAGGGGATAGAAGGTAGACGCCTATGACCAAAGACATGGATTCTCTTCATGTTTTTCACTTTCTTTGAACATGTCTTACAGGCATTCATGGAGAAGGAATGAATAAACTGGTGAGCGAGCAGTACACACGTCGTTTAGTCGACAGCCAGATATCATATATGCTAAGTTAGAGATGGCGTATGTTATCAAGTGCCAAACGAGGCTTGTTTATCGGTGATGAAATTCCGTCAGTGATCAACGCCTTTGGGATTACCTGATAGGTGAAGGGGCCAACACACTCAGCCACCTGTTCACTTCTGTGCATCTTTTGTAGGTAGAAGTGAGTCAATGTAGACGAGTCCTGTAGCATTTGACGGCATTAGTTAATCCCATGACAAACATTCGAAGATTGCTTTCTACTCAAGATGTTCAAAAGACTTTACGTTGTGTTCAATACTATAAAAGGAATATAAAAACAAGTGTTTTGATTTGAGAATGAAACAACTAGTGAAAACTCATTTGTCAGACACCTATTATTATTATTGTACCTAGTGGAACATAGGGCTTCAACCACACGTCTCTACTTGCTTCTGTCTTCCTTCTGCTGTACTTTCCACCTGAATCCATGTTAGTCCATACTCTTTCAACTCCTCTTCACACCATCTCCTCCATGTCACCCACCCTTACACTGACGTCCCACTCGCCGCTTCCCTTTCGGCCTGGTTCTACTCGAGGGTCGAAGGCCTGACGCACGCGCTATGTCACCCAGCGGCCTCCTCCTCAGCGAGCGAGTGTCCAATCCATCTCAATCCACTTTCTTCTGCATATTTGTTGGTTGGTGATTGGTTCTTGTTTTGTTTGTTTGTTCCTATAGTTTCTTGTTGGTGATTGTTTCCGGCCCGGCCATCTGATCTTCAGTATAGCGAAAAGCGAAGACAGTTAGTTGTTGATAAAGGTGTGCAATAGCCAGTCTGTTGGAAATATTCTTTGTGACCAGCCCGCCCGCCAAGTTTCTGATCCGATTCGTATAGAAGAACTGACTGACTTGACGTTTGTATTGAAAATCCTACCGAATTTTGTTGTTGATGCTGGTTGGGTGATGAAGATTTCCAGATTAGTTTCAGGTTGATGAATGTGTGTGTTCTCGCGCTCCCGATTCTCGCTCGATTTGACATCCTCGTCCGTTCCGACTGGCTGTAGTTGAGACAATGCTCCCTAGATAAGAAAAAGAATGAAGTAACCTCTTTAAAATCCCTCCCGTTGATGGCGATTGACGCTGGATGTTGCTGCTGCTGCTGTTGTTGTTGTTGGTTGGTTATTTTCATAACCTCTGTCTTGTCTATGTTCACCTGGAGTCCTGTCTTCGCCGGCTGCTTCTTCTACCAGTTTGTCGGTTTTCGCTTGTAAGTCTTCGATTTTGTGTGACATCAAACATAAATCATCCACGCGCGAAATCCAGGTCTTCTAGGTTTTTCACGTCGGTCCAGGATATCAATCCCTGTCTTCTCGTTTCCCACTGTCTGACGCATAATCCAGTCAGTCCATCACAATTAGGAATATCATTGATGATAATAAGCACCCTTGTCTGACTCCTGTGTTTACTACGAATGCCTCGCTGAGTTTTCCGTTGTGGATCACTGGACATATGCCGTTGTCATACAGCTGATGAATAATGTTAAGGAATATTTAGGGTACTCTGTAGTACTCAGATTTTCAGATAAGGTGTATATAGTATCCCTATATAGAGTTATTAGATACAGAATAAACATTGCCATACCAAGCCTCTTGACTTTTCCCATTACAATACAACATTCATAAATAAAATCTCTATTCATTTATTTATTTGTTTATCCATGTTGTTTTTGTTGTTGTTTAGAGAGAATATCCTCTTGTTTTTTTTTGCCTCCCAATTTTTTTTTCAGGCTGAAAATCTTTTATTCGATGGTTTTTTCAATGTGAAACTAGCTGATTTCGGTTTTTCAAATCTTTTCGATGGATCGAAAAAGCTGGATACATTTTGTGGTAGTCCACCGTATGCTGCACCGGAATTATTTCAAGGCCGTAAATATGATGGTCCAGAAGTTGATGTTTGGTCGCTAGGTGTAATATTGTATACATTGGTTAGTGGATCACTACCATTCGATGCACAGCATTTAAAGGTTAGTTGTCATTATCTTTTGTTATATATATCTATAGGTATGCTATGTATGTCGTCTTAGTGAGTGTGCCAGCTACATTTGTGGTCAGTTCATGCTCCACTACCAAGCGACACACTACTTACTACTAAACCTCCTTTGTCTGTCTAGCTGTCTGTTTTTGACATAAAACTTTGCACTGATATGCACCAATTCAAGTCGTCACAATCCACTCCTTGTAGCACACAAAGCAAGAGAAGAAAGTAGAAGAAATGCATAATAGTGACAGTAAACAGAGGTGTGAGACAAAGGAATAGTAATAACAAAGAACAAAACAGTTTCATTGGTGGAGATCATAAGTCACAAGGAGTGAATGCATCTTCACCAGCCATTGAGAACGATTTTGAGCCATATCACCGATTGTCTCCAGTCTTCATTGGTTTTTACCGTCCTGAGGACCCCAATCAGGGAGTCTACACCTTCCTACGTGACTGGCTTAGACCAACTGTTGTGGATTTTATTGACTGGTGGAGCCATGTTTTGGTTTGACCGCTGCTAGCTGACTCTTCTTCAGCCTGAGCCTATGTCAGCTAACATTGCCCATTGTCGAGGAAGGTGATGACCAGGCATACGTAGCACATGTCGAAACCATCACAGTCGACGTAAATTCACAGCCTGGTCGGTTGATTTCTACTCCTTATCTAGTACTCGATCCACGCCTAACCTCGATATTGCTCACCCTGTCATACCACTTCACACGGGAGATAGAACACAGGCACCTATGATCAAAGACAGCTAATCTTTTCATGTCTTCCTCTCTTAATGGCCAGATCTCACAAATTTCCACTAGTTGACAATAAGCGCAGAGGAGAGAGAATGCCGAGTGTGTTAGGCTAGCAAGCTCACGCCGTAAAATAATTTCACTGCCACTGAAACTTTAATACGCACGTAGCTTGAAGTAAAACAACTTCGTATTTGAAAGGAAATGGCTTATGCATATGTTATGTATAATTTAACAATCTACAAGAAGTTAGAACTCTAACGAATTAGTGGTAACATGATCCGATAGCAAATCCAGAAGGTATCTTGGTGTTGTATCACCTGTTTCTGTGAATACTCTAGAACATTGATCTGCATTCAATCATCTTGGCTGACACCAGTTAAGTAATCGATTTCTGGTGAAATGTATGTGTTACAAGATTTGCAATTAATAGGGTTCTCTGAGCTGGTTGGTTTAGTTGTGGAGCTTTCGTCGTCCCCCTGCTGGACAATATCCCCTTTCAGTGCAATATTTAGCATAGAGTGAAATGATTTAAATTCTTCTTCATGAGTAATAGAATTGCGTCTCCCAGTAACCATCTTTACATATGCATTGGCCATTTCTATTGACTTGGATTTTAAACTTTCTGGTCACCTGATTTACTTTTTGTTAGTTGGTAGATTTGGTCTACATTAACGTGTTTGTTAATTGCATACTCGTTTGAGTATCAGGCTTCTAGGAATTCTCTGACAGCACTTTTGGTGTTTCCTCTGTCTAAGATTTCAACATTATCCCAATCAAATTGATGTCCATAGTTGTCTATGTGCATTGGTATGAAAGAATATATATCGTGTCTTTTCACGGTTGATTTGTGATCTTGGATTCTGATTCGAAGAGGACGCCCACTTTGGCTGATGTAATGCTTGTTACAGTTCATACATGCAATTTATTTTGTAAATGGTATTAATTTTATCTTCTTTTTCTGTTAGATCTTTCGGTTTGCAAAATATCGAATTAAGCGATTTGACTGGCTTGTGTGCTATATCTATATCAAACGGTTTCAGTATTCTAGCTGTTATTTCAGAGATATTTTTCATGTGTGGAAGGATGATAGGAATAATGTCGAAATCTTAGACAGAGGAAACACCAAAAGTGCTGTCAGAGAATTCCTAGAAGCCTGATACTCAAACGAGTATGCAATTAACAAACACGTTAATGTAACCAAATCTACCAACTAACAAAAAGTAAATCAGGTGACCAGAAAGTTTAAAATCCAAGTCAATAGAAAATGACCAATGCATATATAAAGATGGTTACGGGAGACGCAATTCTATTACTCATGAAGAAGAATTTAAATCATTTCACTTTGTGCTAAATATTGCACTGAAAGGGGATATTGTCCAGCAGGGGGACGACGAAAGCTCCACAACTAAACCAACCAGCTCAGAGAACCCTATTAATTGCAAATCATCCACCTAAGCTACAAATCTTCTCTAGTATTACAAGATTATTTGTGTTGTATAAGTACTTACGCTAGTCAAGCAATTGTGTCACAATTTAATTTCGATGTCATCTAACACAAAAGAAGTATGCTCAGATATTGAATTTTTTTTCCTCAACTATATAATAAGATACAATATTATATTTTTGAATTCATTTTCCTCGCTTTATGCTCTAATTCTTCTTTTATTAGGATTTACAAGAACGTGTACTTCGTGGGAAGTATCGTGTTCCTTTCTACATGTCCACTGACTGTGAAGCATTATTACGCAAACTGTTAGTTCTTAATCCATCTAAAAGAGTTACACTCAGGGTAAGTTTGTATTCTGTTATTTTGCCTTTTTAAAAAATAAATTTATATCACTGTCTGTGTTTCTATATTTGTATTAAGTTTCTTATTGTCTGTTTATTTCTGTTTCACATAGTCAGTATTTATTTAAGGCATGTTGAAGTGTCTGTGTAATTCATTTCATAAACTGAAAACGAGTGTACCATAATCAGGTAGATAGTCAACGGGGGTCGCTGTGGGAAATCGTGACCAGTAGGATATAACAGGTGGGGCGTGAAGAGAAATACTCACCACCGATGGCATTGGATAGTACCAGTTGCACTACATCGTGAATTGGCGGAAGTTGGAATTCACTGGTTGACCATTAGATTGGCTCCTATTGGCTACTGAACGGTCTACGAGTTCGCTCGCCTTGTAACCAGCAGCTCCTTGGTTCGAACTCTGGTGGTGGGTGCGTACTGATAGAGGGTCACAAACTAGGACGAAACAGCTATCCAGTACTCTTTGATTGTTTTCCAATGGTTCTGTAATTGATGTTAGCTCATGGTGGAATCCTGTAAATAATCAATTAAATCGCTACAAACCAATACTGTTCCATATCAGTTGTTCCTTTACATAAGGCCATAAGAAGTAATTTATCTTGACAGTCTTTGACTAGACGTTTGTTCCAGACATATATATATATATTGCTAAATTTTTCCCTCTTCCCCACAAACTTTTTCTCTTCTTCCCTTCAAAATTTTTGATAAAGTAAATGAAACAGTATAATGGTTGAATACTGTCTCAAAAATATAACATGTTGTACATATGTCTATAAATATGTTCTATAATTTGGATTAGTTTATCATATAATCAATGAAATTATTATTATAATTATTGTTCCTTTGGGTTCCGAGTGGAACATAGGGCTTCAACACCATACCTCCACTTTCTTCTATTCTCCGCTGTCCTCGTCACTTGGATCCTACGACTGACCATAATCTCTCATCTCTTCCTTCCTAAATGATCTCCTCGATGTCGCCCTCACACCGATGACCCACTCATCATTTCCCATTTGGATTTCACTCGAGTGATGACATGCATTGCGTGCGATATCATTCGATGGTCTCATTAATGGGTGCCCGATCAACCCATCTCCGTTTTCTCCCATATATTTGTTGAGCAATCCGCTCTTGGTTGTTTGTTGTCAGCCAGCCAGAGTTTCTTGTCGCTAATTCATTATGACCAGCCAGTCAGCGAAGGAGGGAGCTGTTGATAAAAGTCTGTTTTTGGCCCGTTGGAAATGGTTTTTGTTACGTGCTGGCCAAGTTTCTGAACCGTATAGAAGAAGTGATTGACTGACTGGTTTGACATTTGTGTTGAAAATCCTAATCTTTTTGTTTATGCTGATTCTGAGTGCAGTGCAGAAGATTTCGAAACTAGATTCAGTTTGATGAGGGTGTATGTCTCCTTGCCTTTCTGGTTCTGACTGGCCAGCTTTGATATCTTCATCCGTGGCGACTGCCTGTCATTGGAATGATGCTGCCTGTCCAGATAAGTGAAAGAAGTGACCTCTATCAAATGTTTCTTTGGTTGTTGTTGTTGTTGCTGCTGCTGCTGCTGATGGTGGTGGTTGATTATCTTCATTAGTTCTGTCTTTTCTATGTTCACCTAGACTTATATCACTTATGGTGTCGGTGAGTTATCCGAATGAATAAATAATAAAGAAAAAAACGACTCTGTTCAGCTTTTAATAGTGTAATGTCTTGGTATCTGACTCTGTTTTATTTCATCCTGACTCAGAATTGATTTATTCTTATGCCTATGCATTTATGCCCTCCTTTCTTTCATATTTCTTCACTTGTATTTTTTATATCGTATTCTGTAAACGTTTTTGCACAATTGTCCTTTTTACTGAGTCCAGTTTATGTAGAGGTATATGTTATAAATTGTAAAGCATGACAGTAATCATGATTTCGTTATTTAGCCGGATATCACGTCTACTAAGCAAGAGACGGCATAAACTGGCATATGCAAAACAGCCTTTTGTATCCATGCTGAGATTTCGTCGGTGATCAACCCGTTAGAACTATCTAATACAACTTCCCAAATAAGTGAAGTGGTCAACACACTTTACCGCTTGATGTCTACATAAGCTCGGTTTTTAATTTTTCCGCATGTTTTTAATTGCCATAGTAACAGCTTTTACGAGTGTATTGTATAGAGAGAGGGAGAGCTGTCTTTCAGTTATTGAGTGTAGCAGTTTATGAAAAGCGTGTTCTCATGTGGTTTCACTGTTGTTGTTTTTGTTGTTTTTCCTCTTCGGCCACTTGAATACTAATTCTACACATGTTTTGTTGTCATCCTTCCTGGAAGTATTTTTTCCTTCTCTTCACGACTCTCAATCTTTTTTTAAATAACATTTTTAATGTCTGCTTTTTTATACAAGAATTTTTATTATTTTGAGTCATTCAAATGTGTGAAGTGGGGGGGGGTGGGGTGGATGTTTGTTCTATGTCTTTCATCCCATATGGTTTTCCTGACTGTATCAAGTCTCAAGTATCTCTGCATCCTCTCCTCTTTTCTTCATCCTCTTAAACTCTCGTTTGCGTCTGATGTCTAGCCAGCCAATGTTTCAATAAGCGTTTTTGTTGTTTTCTAACCTTTTGAAGAAATTGACTATTTATCTCGAAGTGGTTTGGTACACCCATTTTTAGGGTGTTTTTTCACTGCTTATAAATATAGTTACTGAGGTGCTTGTTAAATGACAACTTTTTTTCTAAATGTTAGCGTAGAACTCGACTACTAACGGTAGAATGCAGTTGCATATTTTTTAAATATTATTATTGTTTCCTTGGGTTCCTAGTGGAACATAGGCCTTCAACTGCACGTCTCCCTCCACTTGCTTCTGTCTTCCTTCTGCTGTACTTTTCACCTGCATCCATGTTAGTCTATACTCTTTCAACTCCTCTTCACACGATCTCCTCCATGCCACCCACCCTTGCACTGACGTCCCACTCGCCACTTTCCTTTCGGGTTCCACTCGAGGGTCGACGGCCTGACGCGCGCGATGTCATCCAGTGGCCTCCTCCTCAGCGAGCGAGTGTCCAATCCATCTCAATACACTTTCTCCTGCATATTTGTTGGCTGGCGATTGGTTCTTGTTTTGTTTTGTTTTGTTTATTCCCATAGTTTCTTTTTGGTGGCTGTTTCCGGCCCGGCCATCTGATCTTGAGTAGTATAGAGCGGAGACAGTTAGTTGTTGATAAAGGTCTACAATAGCCAGTCTGTTGGAAATATTCTTTGCGGCCAGCCCACCCGCGAAGTTTCTGATCCGATCCGTATAGAAGAAGTGATTTGACGTTTGTATTGAAGATCCGAATTTACAAATATTGCGTATTAGAGAAGTTTATTTCAAATATCACACACACAGTGATGATGCAGCATTACCAACTGGATGATAAGGTTTCAAGCATAAATGATTGCTGCTCGTAATCCTATCAATTTTAGTCACACGGTTTCACAGTTTATGCATTCTTTCTTCCCTTCTCTCTCTCTCCCCCCAACTTTCCCTTGTTGTTTGTTGCCACTTTCCACATCTCCAGTATAGGCGCGTTGTGTACCGTGTTGAGTCGATAAACAAAGTTTCAGTGATCAACCTCTGCCTGTCTTTCCACCCAACTATATTACTATTTAATACTGTCACCCTTACCCATCCCCAGCGTATTGTACGACTACATGCAAGTGAATGCCAATGCAGTGCAATGGCTGAGCTTTTTTCTAGATTGTTTAACTTAACAGGGTCAATAATTCTGGGTCTAGCTAGGTCTTTTATGTTCCAATAATCTAAATGACCCCGATCCACCACTAGTTTGACGGCCTATTTGACTGACATCATTCGCAGTCATTATATGGTATTTGGTAAATTATGTTATCATTTTCCCTAATGGGATCTATTAGGTCCTTAAGCGGACAAAGTTTACCTTTGAGAGAGTCAGTTCGTTAGTTGACATGACATACACTTAGCACGAAGAGATGCTCCATAAGAAACCTCATAGTTTGTACTAAGGTTGGTATACTCCTCGGACACCCAGACTAAATCAGACCGTTGTCTTAGGGGGCAACACCCCAAATTTTTATCGTGAATTCTGATCCAAAAACTCATTGAGCAACGTCAGAGACTATGTTTCCATGGTTGACAGTGTGCGAAACAGATTCATATGCCATTCACTTCTTTGGGATTTAGTATCCGCTCTGTACACCATATTTTTTTAAATCATAGTTTGCCAGCTCTACGAGGTTTACCTACGTGTCTGTCAGTCCGGTTGTAAACGCCAGACGTTCTTATTCGCTCGTTTGCTTTTTTTGAGTTATGTCCTAGCTTCTTTGAAGGCAGTTAAAAGGACTTACCTTGTAGGAAGTCTACCCACTGACTGACTAGTTCAAACATAAGACTTTTTACAGATGTGTACAAGTTCGAGTTGTCACACTCCATGCTTCTACCACACAAACCAACAGAGCAAACTAAACACAAATTCAAAAGAGAGCTAATACACAGAAGGGGGAATTAGGGAAAAGGAATAAGAGTAATATGGAAAAACAATACACTTTTATTGGACATAACAAATCACTCAAAAAGACTGATGAGTGCATCTTCACCATCATCGAGAACAACGACTTTCAGCCATATCATCAATTGTCTGTCTCCAGCAGCAGCCATTGGTTTTTACCGTCCCAAGGACTCTGTCCAGCCAGCTAGCCGCTCAGTCTACACCTCCTCACGTGGTTAACTGGCTCAAACTAACTGTTATGGATTCGATTGACTGATGAAGCCTTGTTTTTATTTGACCTTTACTATCTAACTCTTTTCCAACCTGATCGACCCTATGTCAGTCAGCGAATATCCCTCCTCACCGAGGATGGTAATCAATGGCTAGACATGCTGCGTTATGCATGTCGTAACCGTCTCAATTAGTGTAACTGCTTCACAACCTCGTCAATTCATTTCCCTTTCTTACCTATCATTCGGCTGAAGCCTAACGTCA